ACTGGCTATTTCCAGCACCCACAGAAAGTTTACATTATTACTAGTTCAGTTGCCATGTCAAACCTGCACCTAACCTTGGCCTAAATAATATTTATATGAGTGCTTCTATAAGCAATGTTCTACAGGAAAAGAAACTACAAGTTTAAAAGCAATTCTTGCCACACTAAACAGCATTATAAAATCTTTATACATACTGCTGACAAAAGAATAGATAATTTATTCATGGAAGCCTTTGAATTTCAGCTTTAGAACAAGTCTGGCATGTGAAGACCTAGTTCTCCAAACATTAGTTTGGGATGAAGAATTGTACAGATCTGTATCTTTTGAAGGTACCTCTTTGAGGCAGGATGCAGAACAAACCCCAAAAGCATTCAGTTAATGACAAAATGCTTCCTTACATCTATATATAATGAAGTAAAACACATTAATGCCCCACAAAAGCACTTTGACCCTTACTTCTTAGAGAGGCTTCATTTACCCTCCTCTTCAAACACAAGGATCTGTTTGTGTGGCTTATTTAACCCAGGAAAGTTCAAACAAGGGACAGCATCACCCACCAATAAAGAAATTATTCAGATGTCAGGGACATAAGATGAAGTGTCCAAAGCAAAATAGTCAGCTTACATCAAGTAAGAATCTCAGTCTGTTAATGGCTTCCTGTATTTTGTTATCCCACACTGCCTCTATATAAACCATCTGTGCTACACACTTCAAGCCATCTTTCAACTATCAACAGGGCTTCTGCAGTAAAACAAACAATTACTAATAGATGTATCTTAGAGACAGATTTGAAATCAAAAGGCGCAGTGCTCCAGCATTCTGATATTAACAAAAGATCAGAACAGATCAGTAGAAAGTCTTTCCTGAACATCTGTTAATAAGAGAATACAGAGATGAAAGGTGGGAGGGGAAGCAACATTTGCTATCACACTCACCCAGATAAGCAACACACACACAGTCTGGACTGAAAAACTACTTCCAAGTGTTCATTCTAAAAGAATTTTGTGCCCTTTTTTTTTCCTTAAACCAAAATCATGCAAAACAGAAGGAAGAGCACAAAAAGCTATTGTCATTTGCACTGGCAAAAAAACCCCCCAACAAAGTAATAAGGCATGATGGAAACAAGCTAACAATGAAACTACGATCTGGACAGCTAACTGGGGAGTGTTTGAAGCTACACAGCTTCTCACAGGGCTTGCACATGTACCCCTCAGCTCCTGATACAGGTAAAAAGTATCAGGCTTGCCAGAAAATAAACCTCATGAGTTCTATGTGTTAGAGGACCTGCAAGGACAGCCAGAGCCTGCTTGATTCACAAGATCCTCCAGTCAATTTCTCACGCATAACTTCTGTTCAGAGGAAGGCTGGAACATTAGTTAACATGAGTGCCTCACACAAAAAACACCTCTTAAGTGAGGATTACGTACAGGAAGAGTATTTAATAAGACAGTTTACAGATGAGCTGTATATCCTGTGGTGAATCTGCAATTATTGTCATTCAGGTTAAGAGTATTCACCAGATGGAAGGAACCAGGAAGAGATATAAACAACGCAGGAATGGGAGCTGTGTGAGGGGCAGAACACCCTCTCTCCATTTCAAGCATGCTTCCTGCTCTCGCACCTGCTGCTTAAGTACCTCCGGCCAGCTTTAGCCCAGCATCTCCACTGTCAGCTAAAGCAGGAATCAGAAGTGACAGCCAGTTCTCTCTCTGATTCACAGCAGTGCTTGGTCATGCCATAAGGAAACCTATTTTTTTAAGTAAGAAATAACTACAAACAGAAGATGATTAAATTCGGACTGTTCCTGCATGCTGGAACACTGAGCAACTCTTTATGTAGGCAGTGTGCGTGCAAGACATCCCAGAAGATTAATCTCTGACATAAAAGTCACCCAGGGCTTGTTCTATGGAGTGTCATCACTCTCTACAACAAAGGCAGAGGGGCTGTACCCTGTTGCGTCTCTGCAGCTTTATAGCCCCCACCGCAGTCACACCGCAGGACCCAATGGCAAACGTAGCCCGTTCAAACCTAACTTCATCACAGCTACCGAAACCAGCAACCGGAGCCCATTTCTGCCCCTAACACTCAAACAGACCCCGAGGTAAAGCAGCGATTACAATTCGTGCAAGTACAAGGCCTCCTTCGGAGCGGGACAGCCCGGAGCCTACTGCCTGCGTCCCGACGTGCCGGGACCAGCACCCAGAGCCCCGGCAGGCTGCGGAGGCACAAGCCGCTTCACGGAGAGGAGGAGCCCGACAAGCCCCAGCCCGCGGCAGGGGACCAGGCAACGGCGGCACCGCCACGTCCGAGGCCGGGGCTCTCCGGGGGTGAGACCCCAGAGGGCGGGTCTCACCACTAGCCCCACACCCGCTGTCCCGGGATCAAGCGCACCCCCCTCCGCAGCTGCCCCAGGCCCTACTCGCGTTCCCCTCGGCCTCACTCCTGCCGCAGGCTCCCGCCCAGCCCCAATCCCCCCGCGCCCCGGGACCCCCTTCCCCGCGTCCCCCGGTACCCGTTACCTCACCTCTCCCTCCCACCATCCGCGGTACAGGCCTCTCCCGCCACCCCCCCGCCGAGCCCTGCGGCCCGGCCTGCCCGCTCACCGTGTGGGAGTGCAAGCTCTGGCTCGCCTCGATCTGCGCTGTCAGTGGCACCGTGTCGTCCAGCAGCACCTTACCGGCCGGCGGCTTCTCCATGAAGGCCATAGCGCGGAGAGAGGAACGGGAGCCCGGCGCCGCCAACCTGCTTCCCGGGGCAGCTCCCGGCGCGGCCGCCGCTGTCAACACGGCAGCGCCGAGACAACGCCGCCGGGCCTTAGCGCCGACCGGCCGGCTTCCCACCAGCGGCCGCCAGGGGGCGCCGCGCCAGCCCCGTGCGCTGCAGCTCCCGCCCCATCTCGGGGCGGGCGGCGGCGGGACGGGAACGGAGGGTTCCCGGGATGGATATGGGAAACGAAGCCGGAGCACCGGCGGAGCGCGGGTGACTACCCCGGGACTACCCCCAAGTCGCCCGTACGCGGAGCTCTATGCAGCACCAGCTTCAGCCCGAGGTGGGGTAGCGCCAAGGCACTGCTGGTCCTCACAAACCGGAAAGAGCTGCTTTGTACCTTTTAGGGCTCATTTGTAGCTAAAACCTTAAAAAAAATAAAATATCCAGTATCTTCCACTTAATGTGTAGATTTTAGGGTTTGAGGGGGTTTTCTTGCAAAGAGAGTGAAATTTTGTTTCACAACCTAACTGCCATCACAGCAGTTAGAAACTGCCACTTCAGTACTACTTGGCAGACGGGAACCTGCTGTCTGTTGAACATTTGTTTCTTGTCCTCTCACCCTCCTTGTAAAGCAAGGAGGTCAGATATTGACACGATTTGCTCTGTTAACAGGCACTGACGTGACAGCTTACCATCTGGAGAACACGGGAGGAAAGGCGTACACCTGCTAAAAATCACTGCAAAAGCTGGTGATCAGGCAGCTACTGGCAGCAGAAGGCAACAGGAAGTGAAAGCTCCAACAGACAGGAGGTAAGGAAAGCTCTCACCAAGCACTGTTTCTGTGTTGCTTTGAAAGTAAAGGGCACAATGAAGTCAAAGATCAGACTGTGAGGGTGCTGGCACACGCTGTCCGGCAAAGCTGTGGCTGTTCCATCCTTGGCAGTGTACAAGGCCAGGTTGGATGGGGCTTGGAGCAACCTGCTCTAGTGTAAGGTGTCCCTGTCCATGGCAGGGGTTGGAAATGGATGAGCTTTAAGATCCTTTCAACCCAAACAATTCTGTTTCTATGACCCCTCTTTCTGATCAGTGTGATTAAATAGCAGGGGTTCATCCTTGCACTGCAGTTGCATTTACAAACAAGACATCAACACCCAGGCAGTGTAACTGTTTCACCAGTAGCTTCTATCACAGTTTGAGGACAAACTCTTTTTCCTCAAACTCTGAGGCTATCTGCAGTCAACAAAAGTTACAAATGCATTTTGCTGGCAGAGATAGGGGGGGGAGCATCTGTTTTGCCAGAAAATTATGAGCCACCAATTGAAGGCAGCTTGTACTTTTACTCCTGGTGGTCCTAAAAAAAGTTTCTTAGTGTACAATAATCTTATGTTGATACTAAGATAATTTAACCCAGATCATTTACAAATGAATTTACCCAAAGCCTGCTTTACCAGCAACCCAGGTAAAGGGGAATACATGTACACGCAGTTAGTACCCCCTCTTCTGTTCTGCTTGTTAAACCCCACAGCACCATCCCCTCCCTCCAGTGCTGGTTAGCAACACAACTTCATACAGAGGGAACAAGATTTAACTGATCTAGTGTGGACCAAAAAAGAACAGCCTCAGCCTGAACCCTGCCACTCCATACTCTCCACAGCAACAGCTTGTTTAAACATGCCACTTCTGTCACAGCACATGCTTAGTTCCAGTGGCTTCATCTTGGCAGTGGTCAGGGGAAAAATGAAAAGCTCTAGGTTTAATGCAAAATCTTAATCTATCTCTATGAAGAGTCACTTTGGGCACTGCCTTTGAAACACTCTGAAGGGGTTTTGTTGCAAATTTACCTGATCAGGTGATATCATATAAAAAGACAAGATTCAAAATCAAGCATACATTTCTGGCCTTTATAGGAAAGTACCACAGGATCAGGAGCTCTGACGGTCTGGCACCATGACTTTCACCATCCCTTCCATAACAGTCTTTGCGCTGTCTTTGACTTTACACGACACCGAAATGTGAGCAATAGAACCCTTCAGGTGTTGCACTTCCGCTGCAGCTACAACCTCCTCACCAAGATGCAAGGGAGCTGGAAATCGGATCTCCTGAGAAAGAAGTATACATCCTTGACCCGGCATTTTAGTACCCAGAACCGCAGAAATAAGTCCATTGACCAAAATTCCATGTATAACAATTCTCCCAAACCTAGACTTCTTTGCAAAATCTTCATTTAAATGCAAGGGATTTGTGTCACCTGTTAAATGAGAAAATGTAGTAACATCATCCTGGGTAAAAGCTTTGGTAAGTTCAGCTCTGTCTCCAACTTTTATGTGTAAACTCTGAAGTACGGGATGTCCAAGCAGTGAGTTGATAAACGTGAGCTTTGTCCAGTCTTTTTGTGGGAAACCCCCTCCAAAAATTCCACACCTGAAGAGCTGCAGCATCTCAAGCAGCTTCTGCTTCGTAGGACCAGACCAACAACCGTGTTCAGTCCAAGACTAGTTCTCTACTGTTGCCAGCTAATGCAAGAAGAAATGGAGATGTCTAGTTTGAGAGAAAGAAAACAAACAAATAAGCAAGAAACAAACTTAAAAGCATTGAAGAAAAATCACTCAAAGTTTAAAATACTTAGATTTCACTTTTATATCAAATATTGAAAGCTTAGAGCTATGGCCCAGCAGATTTTGTTAAGCCATAGCTTCAGAGACAATTCTTGGAAATCACTTTATTAAGGAGCATCCTCTAGAAAAACTAAGCTCTGGCAGTGCATGTTCCACATGCATTTTTAAACAAGGTCAGTTGACAGTGACTATTAAAAAGCAAAGAAATGGGGTAGGGAATATCAAAGATTGGACCAAGATATGGGCCAAGAACAAAATCTTTCCAGAAATTCTTTTCTTGCAGGTGTATTAATGAGATCAGGACTCATCACTGGAATGAAGCCATAAAGTAATGAGACACCCATTACGGTCACATTTTACAAGGTTCATGATGAGAATTGCTCAAGCACAACCCCACACACCTGCACTGAAACACATTTCAATCCCAAACCAAGATGTTTTTGCATCCAGGGCATCTTTGTATGATAAGGCAGCAAGCACAGCTATGGCTCAGCCACTCAGCCAGGCCTGGAGCAAGAACTGACATTTGTGGGAGACAAGGCCAGGTTGGACGGGGCTTGGAGTAACCTGCTCTAGTGGAAGGTGTCCCTGCCCGTGGCAGGGGGTTGGAGCTGGATAAGTTTTAAGGACCCTTCCAACACAAACCAGTCTGTGATTAAATGACATCCAGTCTGCACAGGGCTTTACCTGCAGCACTCGAAAAGCACACCTCCTGTTCTGGTAGAAGCCCAGCAACGTCAGAGCACTCCACAGCTTGACAAGGCCACTCAAAAAACAAAGTATATTAACAAAATTTGGTTTTATCAGCTTTCCTGGGGCATAAACATCTTAAATAAAAAACATGTTACATACAGAGCAACGAAACCTTTAACAGAGTGTAACAGCAGGTATTTCACCACTCAGTTCCAGCAGCAACAGCATGCCCTAAAGGGTTAGTGCAGTGACAACTTCTTGTCCCTGACATAGATACTTACTGTAATCTTCTCAAGGTCACTTTACTGCTCCTGTTCTTGTTCTAGCTACGCATTTAAGCTCCTTCTTCCCCTAAATCACTTAGAATTGTCTTCACCATTTACATACAGTAACCATTCTCATCTTTACTACAGTAAGAGATTTAAAGCCACATGTTTCAATGGTGCTTGGTTTCTGTAAGACCATTCTGTTTTAAAGCAGGAGCAATGTACTGATGTATGTAGGTGACCAAATCTTGGTGATTTTTTTACTTCTTTTCCGCATGCTGTATGCAGACATTTGCAAGTCAGGCTTAATTCTTCACAGGGCATTCTTAACTAAAGAGTTTTCCTACAAAAAGTACTTTCACGGCAGTATCTGAAGTGTAAGCCTACTGCACCTTACCTGCTAACAACTCTTAGTATGGCAGACAAAGTTTTTTCCTCGTATGTCAAGACATCAACAGGTAAAGCTGCTCCGACCTATGAAAAAAAAGTTATTAAATATAACCTTAAATACCATCCTATGCTCTTGTAGTGGTGGTTTATAAGCAACTGATTTCACTCCCAGCACATACGGCAGAAGTTGTAGTTACATTCACATCTCGCGTGAGTGTTTAAGCAAGGACACCACTAGATTTGATGCAGCACCCTTCCCCTCTAAGCACTTCGCATAAAGCCACTTTTAGTTCCAAATTACAGCTGGAAAACAAAGGACCCAGAGATGGCAGGAGTTATTTAAAGTCGCTCGGTAATACGCAGGGCAAGACCGGTTCTGCAGACAGCGAAGAAACCATTACTTTCCCACAGCTTTCCTTTCAAACCCTCACTACAGCAAAAGCATCGATAACCCAAGGTCTAAAAATCAGGTATGCCGGAGTCCCTTCACTACAGACACAAAACCAACGTGTACAACCCCGGCTGCATCCGCAGCAAGCTACAAGGCGGTCTGGAGGCACGATAACAGGTTACCAGCGGCAAACCGAGGCCCCTTACCCCGCCTCCTCAGCACCCGTCCTCAGCCAGGAGGGCGCTCTCGGGCGCCAGAAGCCCGGCGCCCCGCTCGGTCCGCGCTCACCTCCCCGTGCAGCTCCCTCAGCGCCGACACCACCAGCTGCTTGAACTGCGCCACGTTCGGCCGGGCCCCGCCGTCCGGCAGCTCCCTGCGGGCAGCAGAGCAGAACAAAGGGGCGAGATGAGAGGGGGGTATGGGTCGGGGGATCCCCCCGGACCGGAGGGGTGGCACTCACAGCCGCACTCGCAGATAGTGGTGCTCCCCCGCACTCCGCAGCACTCTCCGCTCAAAGGTGGCGGCTGCGACCGCGGACTCCGATAGCGCCATCCCGCCCCTCCCGCTCCCGCCCAAGCCAATGGCGGCGCGCCCGCCTCACCGAACCTTGTACGGCGGCCCCGAGAGGTCAACCCTCGCGTTGCCATAGGGACCGGGCGGTGCTCCGCGTCCCATCTCCGGGGCACCGCGGCGGCTGATGGGGAAAGGCTTAGCCGAGAGCGCCGGACTGAAAGCACCGAGCCTCCTCGCGGAGGAAGCGGCCGGTTCCCGGTTGTACCAGAGAGGAGAACGGCCGCTGGATACTGCCCCGGTGGGCGCGGGGCGGCAATGGGGAAGGGCCCAGGCAAGACCCGTGCCCGGAGCCCAAAGCACAGTGTGTAGCCAACCCGAGCTCGGCCTCTCAGATGGAGGCAGGCAACAAGCCGCCTCTGAGGCTGAAATGAATCCCTGAGGTGTGGGAACAGATGGTATTTCCGAGTGCGACAGGGTGGCTTTCAGCTGCAGAACGGCAAATACTGGGCACTCCACAGTAAACGTGCTGTTGGAGAGGGGCTCGCAGAGACTCTCCATCTATCACTTCTGGTGTTGGTCCTGCTGCAGTTCCTGGCAGTGTTGTCTAGCAGAGTAATGGGTCACGGGCACTGGGGTTTCTTAGGCTCTAGTCTGCAGTACACACAACTGAAACAGATTTGAAACGTGCACAGAAGTAGCTTGGCAGCATCTTTGCACCTCACTGGTCAACACCACCTCGTTGAGATAAAATAACACAACTTGAGTACATTGTCACTGATCTGGATTGGTGAAATACATCCTTTGGAGAGAAATGGCAGGAAGAAGCATCTTTGCTCTGCCACAATGATGAAACGTCACAAAATCTTAATTTTTGTACAAAAATGTTGATCCAGGAATGAATACTGACCCCAGCAGAGTAACACAGCAGCAGCCTAACACCCCTCTGACATGACCGATACCATTCACCTTTGCCAATCAAGCTGCTCAGAGGAACTTAAGAGTTCAAGATGTTTTCTCTGGATCTGGCGCTTTCTGTTTGGACCTGGGGTTTTCTCTCTGCCCCACAGGCTGTCCCTGTCCCAGGACATCTGCCTGCATGTCATACTGTAAAGGGGACCTCTCCCTCTACTATGGGCACTATCTGCTTTCACCTTCCTACTGCTGATGTGGCACAAAGCCTGGAGACTATTTGTGTCAGCTAAAGACCTCAGTGAGTTTAAGGAGGTATTAAGAAAATCAGCAACAGATCTCAGCAAAGGCACCCCAAGAGGTTCTCTGATCTACCCCTGCCCCAGACACATACTGTGAGCATTCGGCAGAGCTCATTTACAACTTTGAAATAAATAAAATGAAATATAATAGTAGTGGTGGAAGATTTCACTTCCCCCCCCCCCCCCCCCGCAGTCTATTCTAGCTCTCTTCCAGACAGCTCTTTTTAATGCTTAACGGCTTCCCTGCTGTTGCTCATTGCTGTATTAACAGGCCTGTCCTAATCAATATAGGATCATTCCTCCTCCTGGATTGTTTTCATATTCCCTGCCCTTCTCCTACCACCCCCCACCCCTCCCCCCAGTTGTCCTTTACATAGAAAAAAAAAAAATCCCAGTTTTTCCTTATCCCTCTGCAAAATGAAGCATATCCCAGCAGAGGCTTTGGCATCACAATGCATCTGAACCACCCTCCCAGACTAATTTACAAACCATACAGAAAATACTGCAAGCTTAGAAATAAAGCTTCAGCAAAAGCAAATATTGAGCATTTGAACAGGCAATTTCACATGTACCAAAGTAATTTTCCTTTCAAATAGTTAGTTCAGTTAAAAAAAAAAAAAAGGCAGCTTGGCACATAAAATTCAGTAGCCCTTAGTGCAGGCCAGTAAGAGACCTGGATATTGTTTCTCCTGGGAGCAGAGAACCAGTTAGCCAAGTGCTCAAACAACAAATGAGTTCTACGATAATTTGGCAGACATATAGAGCAGCCAGTTTTATTTGGAGCAATAATAGCTACAGAAACTGGGATTATTTTTAAGGTATTAGTAAAACTGTATCTCAAAGCAGCACAAGTTGGTGGTCGGGTCATGGATAAATCTCTTGGTTACTGCAACAGGGCAAGTGCTGTTCTCCATAAGGCTCTGATAACACAAGCAACTTGGGCACCCCAAGTAAATCCAGTTAGCTGCTGGGAAGTCCGCTCTGGATGTAAGCACTGAGGGTTGTGTCAATAAAGAGCACACACAGGATTGTACAGGAAGGCTGGACACAACATGTCAGGTTTTTATTAACTAAAAGTGAAGCTGAAACCCAGAGCGGTTTGTTAAAACCATATGTATATATGGCAGATGTATTTCTTTCAATAGTGCAAGAACCATCCTTTGAGAATCAAGTACAAAATGTAAAATGAATTAAAATGAGGGTCCCTCAATAAATGAAATTAAAAAACCCACTTAACTCTAAAGAACAGACCAACTTTAAGAACTGTCTTACTAAATTCTCCCAAGTGAAAGACCTTTAAAAGCACTTGGAGCCTTGAGGTAGCAATTTTATGCAGAATGTAATTCCCCTCCTGCCCCAGAGCAGAGGAAAATTAGTAGCACATTATTAGCTCCAGCCAGCTGAGTGTTCTCCTATGAGGTTACCGACTCCCTCTTGCATCTTGAAAGGGAAGTGTAGTGCTGCAGGCCGTCAGCAGGAAATCCACGAGGAAGGCCTCTTAAAATAAAATATATGGTCTGAAAGAAGTGGAAATAACCAGCAATAACCGTAACAACAGAAATTACCTGTAGTGAAAAAAAAAACCAACAACCCAAAGTGTTTGTATTTTGGCAAGATGAGGTTACAAACACATCAAGAACAAGAGTCTGCTTTCAGCAACGGAAAAGAAAGCACAGAAGTGACATTCAAAGGGGTTTCAGGTTTTGCCCTCTGTGCAAATTGCACTTTGTTTTTAAAGTTTTGTCTGAAAGTTTCAAGGTTTGCACTTTTGCCCTTTTTTGTTCATTTACAGTGTGAAACCTGTGCTGGGACACAGAAATACTACGTCACGGGGTCTGACCACTGAAAGCTCCTCTCACTGACTTCACAACAATCACAAGCAGGGAATCACAAACAAGAGACTCTTTGTCCTGCAAGTCTCAAAGATACTTTCCTCTTTGCCCACTTTGCGGCTGAGTTATTTTATTCAAAACAAGATTTCTCTCTCTGCCAATTTCAGAGCCTCCACAGCAGATTTACACTGAGTGGTAACACCACCACACTTGAGCTCTTTCTCTGTGACAACTCTGATAACAGTCAGTGAAAAGGAGTGAGCTGAGGTGCAGCAATGTGGACAGATCCTCACACGCAGGCACCTTGCTTCACTCCCTGGTCATGGTATCACCACTCACAAGCTTTCCAACTTTGCCCATTGCTGATTCTCTAACCCAATACTTGGCAAAGTTGAGTATCTTACTACAAGCTTCTCTTGCTATCTTCATGCTCCAAAATTGTAAAGAGGCTGGTTAAACCAGACCAAACTCAATGGGCACATTGCAAATTAACAGCTTTTAAGGAACCTCCTTACAGGCTTGTTCTCTTTCAGCTCAAGGTAAGGCTGCCTCTCTACATCTCACAATGATGTCACACAGATCCTGGATGTGGGATGGCATTGCTCAGGATGTCTCTGCTTCAGGGAGTTGAGGGAAAGGTAAAGCTTCAAAAAGCTTGCTCTCACTTACATGCAATCCCAATCTTTGATTTGACATTCTCGTCCTTTCCTCTGACTTCTAGAAGCCCCCAAATTGAAGTAGTTATAAATGCTCCATCCTGGCAGTGTTCAAAGCCAGGCTGGACAGTCTTGGCAACATGGTCTGCTGTCAGGCATTCCTGCCCATGACAGGGGGGTTGGAACTGGATGATCTTAAGGTCCTTTCCAACCCTAACTATTCTATTATTCTACGAAATCCTCCCTGCCAGGCAGAATTACCTTAAGAATCTAACACCAGCCTTGCCTGAATTTTTGGTTAAGCTTCAGAACAACTGCCACCATTTGCATCTGCTAAGGTTTACAATCTTGTCCTGTAGAGAACCAAAGGCTGGAAGAAGCAGAATCCATCCACAAGTCAGCCCAACCCACCAGGCTCCTCTGGGCAAAGGAGAGGATGTTCTGCCTGGGAGCAACAAGGCTGGCTGTGATCAGTAACAGCAAGTTCTCTTTAGTTCAAATGACAGCAGAGGTAGCACAGACACTGGTCTGAAGATCAGATTGTGTCTGGTTCACTGGACAGTCACAAGCTAGCCTCAGACTTGGAGCCCAAAGTATCCTAAAGTTTTACCTGTTATCAATGCAAGGACCTGATGAGTGGGGGCTTTTATAGTTTTTTGTTGGGCTCATTGGTTTGTTTGGGGGGGGCTGATTCATTTTGGTTTGTTTTATTCTTTAATTCTGTAATCAAAAGAATGATTCTGTCTTTGGTGCTAAACCTTGGAAGCATGAATGAGAAGTACCTGCTGTTTCTTTGGCTGTCATTTGTAACAAAAATACAGCCCAGCAAAGCAAGGGAAATTCACTGTTCTAAAACACATGCAGTTAGAACAGCCACTAGACATCACAACCAGGACTTTAATAACATGGAAACACCTAGTTCAGTGGTGTCCATTACAAATCATTTGCATTATATAAAAATATGACTCCAATTACAGTAACTGGACAACAGCCATTCAAACTTATCAAGTTTCCATCTTACTCATATTGCAGGAACTGGGAGGACCTCATCCATTTAGGAAAAGAAACTGTCCAGAAATCAACTTAAGAGTTGCAGCTAAGCATCTCATGCCTTAAAGAAATGTCCACTGTGGTAACTAGAAGCAGGAATTCTACATTAGCATCATTCTGTTCTTGCTGACGTGGCCATGAAAAAAAAAGAACAGATTCTGTTATACTAGCATCCACAATTAAAAGTTTATAACCCCATAAAACACCAGGAAGTTTTGCATGAGCTGCAGAAGAATGCAAATTCAAAGGGTCACTAAATTTATTACCTACAAATTAAATGTCTTAATATAAATATTCTGTTTGTACACCATAAAAACATCCTTCTTATGGTCTGATCCTTATTTAGATAATACTCTGGTAAAATCTCAGCAGGATGCCAATTTAAGGTCATTAAAGCTATAGAAATAGAATCTACCTAATAAATTCTGCAAATTTAACAGGGCAACATTAGATCAATAGATCAACATTAGCTTAGTTATCACCTAAACCAAAAAGACTCCTCAAACACACCGTGTGGTTAGCAAAGACATTGGCTTCACAAAGTCAAAGGCTGCCAACCATTTAGCAAATCAACATGGTATTTGGAAGCATCCAAGTGTCTAATGAGTCAGAATACTGTGAAATGTTGGGGGGGGGGGAGGGGGGAGCTCCTGTAAACAAGTACAGAAGTTGTCTTCATTTAAATTACAAAACATTCACCTCCTTAAAAAGCTTTAAAACTGACCCAGTCAACAACAGTGCCCTGGGAAATTTAGCAGTATAAAGGATCTCTGTAAGCGCCAGAAGGTAATGTATTGTGATCTCACCACAATAAAATGTTCTCAGTGTCAGGAACAAAGAGCAAACTGGGGGAGATGACAATTATGATACCTTCAGGCCATTTGATCTGAACCACTGCACTTTTTTGGGCAGCACAGAGTAAAACATTTTCCTTTGCTGCTCAGAGAACACTTCAAATCTAGTAATGCTTCATCTTCTGCATTTTGTTGCTAAGCAGACTCTCTCATGTCCCCAGCTTGGTTAACAGAGCTCTAGCACCTGCTGCTTTCATTTCAGCAGGTGAAGGAAAACTTCAGTGCCACCTTATTAATTGGCTCCCTTGATATTTTAACTTCAAACCCAGATGCTACAATTAAAAGCAAATTTGACATTGTGTAAGGAAAGCATCAGAAGAAGGTATTAAGCCCATAAAAGGCTTGTATTCCACTGGTTGCCTCTGCAGAACAGGCAACCTCCCACTAGAGTCTGATCTGAAAATTCATCCCAACAGTAACATCAGAAGGAAGGAGGCTTCTTTATCTTGCACACTTTGGGTTTCATATCAGGCACTTGAACTGCTGGACAGATGCCATTCTGAACCAAGTGAACATAGGGTTACAATGATCTTTAATCTAGGTTTAATGATGAAGTATCAGCAGCAAGGTGGAGGCAGGGAGTGAGCAATCCATCTGTGCTGAGACTTGCTGATGGTTTCTAAAATGCCCAAGAAGACAGCAGCAGGAACCGTTTCCATAGTGTCCGTTTTTCTTGCGAGTTGTGTTGCTGATAGGAGGCTTTTCTGTGTCTTGAACTAAGAAGGCATTGAGGTACCCTGTGCCTAAATCCCTGGATCCCTCAGGTCCATACTAGAGCCAAACATTGCCACCAGTTGCTCCTCATAATGTGTTATATTCCTCTTCATAATGTCCATGCAGGGTCCAAGCAACCTCTCAAATGCTTGCACATCCATGACTGCAAAGGAACAGAGGTGAAAACAAGATCATTCGCCAAACTGAGAACACAAACCTCCAGTACAACCCATCCGGGTTTGAGGCTTCAGTAGAAGCCACAGAAACAGAAATCATATTTCTGATTTCCCTCCATACTGTTATTTGGAGAACCAAGATTCGTGAAGATTCATCCTGATCTCAAGGATAAACACAGGAGGCAAATACACACATTGGCATTAAAAGATCACCTGAAAGCTGTGACAAACGAGCTGTAGGCAAGAACCTGAGCACAGCCCACACCAGCAGAAAAAAACAGAATGTGCTGGAAGGAAGCAGCAGTGCTGCTCAGTCTTGCTCTTAGCTGCTCATGTCTGACCACCAGTTACCAAGAGGCTAAGTTTTAGAACAGCTGCTTACTCAGGCATGATCCATAAAACAAGCAAATACCAGGAAAAGATAACTAGAAACACAACATCTGCTTACCTAAACATTTGACCTCCCCAACAGCATAGGCAGAGGCTGCTCTGGGTTTGTTGGTAACAAGTGCAAGCTCTCCAAAATATTGCCCTCTCTGACACCGGGCAATCTCCACTTCTTGGTTCACTTCTGTACTCGTCACAGTCTGTCAAACAGTACATTTGGGTTATTTGCACACAGCTGTGTCTTTGAACAAGGCTGCAGTTAATTCCAGATATCTGACAGATGTGCAACAGCTCACTGGCTTAGGGCTTTTAAACTACCAATTCCCAAGTCACACTCTACTGGTACCACCTTAACAGCACGTTCAGTTAGAAGTTTGAAGAGAGAAGTGTATGCCCACCCACAAATGTTAAGATTGGCAGGTATTTACTGTCAGAGCTTTGGGAACTGCTGTTACTTTGACCTAACATAGGTTTTATCATGCACAACATGTTGTTCCCTAAGGCTGCTTCAGCCTGTACAGAGCTCCTTTCAAATGCCAACATTTAGTATGTCGCTAGAGATTAACAGTCCCCAGACTTTGTAAGTTGCAGTTTTCTGCTATCCTAGAAGGAGTTTCAAATCCACCCCTAAGGCCAAGGAGAGTGTATCAGGTTAGTTTATAGCGAAGCAGATACAAGCACAAGACTTTCAAACTTCAGTAAAGTGACTTCTGGCCTTTTCAAAACAGGTATGGGGACTTATATACAGCCTACATCACATGGGTGATGATGAGAAATAAAATCTTATAATAAGTCAGGGTAGGCTTTTTCATACCACTTACATTAATCAAATCAGGGACTGACCTAAAACCAAATCACCCCGTTTGAACTCACCTTGCTTTTAATCAAGATTTTTACTTCACCAGTTTCTACAATGTAAAAACAATCTGCTTTATCACCCTGAAAGAGGAACAGGTACAACAAATTACTTTTTCGTTTAAAGGTATGTATAGATGGTGTTAAAGCATTCACTCTGAACTAGGCCTTGTGCAGAAATCTTCCAGAATTGACAAACACTCAAATTCTTAACATTAAAAGGTACCTGGTTAGGTAATATACCAGAGGAACACACAGGGGAAGGAGCTGTTAGTGCATATCATTCAGTGAGAGGGGAGGCTTCAGAGAGACAGAGGCTAGATAAGGAACTCATGCAGGGATGGGAGCAGCTCAGCAAAAACAACTCTGAAACAATGCGAGGAGAGAGATAAACGTGACATTAAGTCAAGCAGGCAAGGAGACTATGAATGTGATGGGAAGGATGAAAGAGATGATTACAACTTGAGTATGAAACATGGGCTGGGAGAAGGTGATGCAAGACTTAAACATTACAGAAGAAATTAAGCCTTTAGCTAGGCTTCCTGGGGATATTGTGAACCATCCCGTGCAAAGCTTTTCCTTCACTGTTGCCATCTATCACAACATCAACTAAGACACTCAACACACTTCTGAGAGAGTACTAAGAGAGTACTTTAAAAGAGTGAAAATCAACTGAGTGGGAGACCTCCTCCTAATACCAGCAGGCACTAACAATTTAAGTGCTTCCAAGCATACTGCACTGAACTAAAGAGTCAAATTCCAGAAAGGTAATTCAAATGTAAAATTACCCATGAGAAAAAAAAGAAGTTCCTGGTATGGATGAACTACTGTAATGGAAGGTCTACCACATATTTTCCAAGCATAGTATTTCATCATCTGCAGCAGTGTACTACCATCACCCAGACCTATCCAGACTATTAATCTTCCTTTTAAAGGGTAATTACATCCTAGTCCTTAATTCAGTTATTACAACAGATTAAAACCAACTGTGTAATTGGATCACTGATTGCATTGGCTTACAGTTCTGAGACTGATTTATAAGCTTTGATTTTGCTGAGAGTCCATTTTTCTCAGGGTCTTACACAATCAGATTTTCAACTTCCCAAATTGAGGGTATTCTTGGAGATAATAAAACTAAGGTTTCCTACATTCAGTTATCTGACATTCAAGGTAATTAAGATGAATTATTCAAGGAGTCATATTTTGTTTATAAAACAAGATGACAGTTGTGATCACAAACCTACAGTAACAGGTAGGCCAAGGACTTTCTTGCCTTAACTTCCACTTGAACTAGAGCACTTCTGCAACAAAGCATCCCTGAGCTAAACTTGATGCAAAATTCCAGTGTTTCCTCAGTAGCAGTACTCCAAAACATCGTGTCACAGCCAAAAAAAACTCCCCCAGCTTTAGCTTGAGTTGATCCAGCTTCATGTTCTAACACTCTGGCCTTGATCTATTACAGCAGACACCAGCAACCAAAGGCTGTTAACTGAAGCTCGACTAACCACCAAAATACTCTTTTTAAGGGCATCAGGAAAAACAGTGGGTTTAGTTACCCCTGGTAATTACTTAGTTAACTGAGTTGGGTTCAGCTACTGAAACATTGCCAATGACTTCATTTATTTTCATCTAAATCACACTTCTGTTGAATTCTTTGGTTTTGTTGTTTAGTCAATTAGAGATGCCTTTACCACCCGCTTGTGACTCCTTGTTAAATCTGGACATCGGTGCTGTGAAAAGTCTACCTGGGTCCTTTCATGGAAATTGCAGAGACATTTAATGTCAGCTTCTTAAAGCACACTACCCTGGAAATCCGGCAAAGACCATTTATAAAGCCCAAACAGGTGAGAGAAGAAAAACCCAGGAGCTAAAGTGCTGCAATAAATTTATAGCAAAAGACATACTGACCATTCCCCAGACATTCAAAAAGTGGTTAAATAAACTGGAAGTATTAAAAGAGTAACTGCCAAGTTGGTCTAAGTAATAGCATTCTGTAAGTCAATTCCAAACAGGAGAAAAGCAGCAGAGAAAGGAGAATGGTAAAGAAAAATTTAGACTGCAAGTACCTGAGAAATGATACGTTCTCCATCTTGGTACACCTTCTCTCCTATAACATCCACTATCTTCATTCGCTCTGATGCCTGGAACAAAGAGGAACATTAAAAGATCATCTCTTGTAGTACATCTCTGGTAAACCTTGTAGCCCTGAAATGATGAGGCATTCACTAGACACAAACAGTATCTGGGTACTGAAAAATACAGCCCCTTCAACGATGCTATCTTGACAGCACCACAGTTTAAGACTACTGTGATTGAGAGGGAAGAAAATTGTCTAGTGGCCCCATCTGTGTGCTCTTCTTGCTCCCAAAGTTAACAAATAACCGATTTGACTGGTTTAAAGCAAATGGAGGGGGAATAATAATTTCCTATGAGGTTCAGTTAAAATTTGAAGAAAACACTCAGAAAACCGTCATAAACTCTCTAAGAACAAACTTCAATGAGAAACACCAGCAACACATTTTCTGAATATTTTAATCACCATACACTGGAATACATGGGGGGAAATTGTGTCCCACAACTCAATCCTAGAATGGAGAGAGGAGGGGGATACAAAAACAATGCTGGCTCTAAATTGTAAGCAGACACTGAACAGGATTCCCAGCAGCAAGGGTAATCTGACGTGCAATGAAACACGCCTGAGACATGAAAAGCAGGAAGGGAGAAAGAACAGTAAAATTTATCTCCAGTGTTTCTCACTGCCCATCTTGAACAGCACAAAACAACTGTGTTGCTCCAGAGCAGTGTAAAAAACATACTGGGAAAGGAGGAACATCCTACAGTTAGAATTAATATCTTGACAAATGATTCAGTTGTAATCCATCCATTCCACAAATGCACCTTCAGCTAGCCCAGATTTGAGAAACTTAATTTTGATCCATGTATGATTCACGTGCAGTGTGTCATGCAAAAAGCCATTCAGTGCTAATGAGTTATTTTTTTATATCTTTAAGTATTTATGAGTCATTTTTGTGCTCAAAGTCACATTGACAGAACTAGTTTAAGCCAGCCACAGAGGGAGATGTTGTGCAACCTACCCCTTCCACAGCTACCAACATACATCCAATATATATTAGGGGTTGCTATTCCCACCTAATGATACTTTGAGATTTTGTAATCTTCCCTCAAAGAGATGTAAAGCTCTACTCAAATAATGCTGAAAAATATTCTTGTGATGAGAAAACAAAGAAAAGCTAAGTTATAGCATAGGACAGAAATAGACTAATTTCAGAGCAGTATGGTATGGCTCTGAAAACCCTCTGAAGATATAGGCTGACTCAATAGCTTAGAAGGGACAATTTACACATAGTTCCTAAATTCATGCACCACTCACAAGAACATGGCATCTGTCTCTTCATTCCGAGGCAGCACTGCTTCCCTTTAGACTATTCTTAGTTTACCTCCTGAATACTGGTTAAGGTTAAAGAAAGTCCTACCAGGGGCCACATTTTCTGTCTCAAATGTGAAATCATTCATGGCTGGTAAAGGGAAAATATCCCTTCGATTTTTTCACTACTTCAATATCACACCCCCAAGGGAAACCACGGCCTGGAGTTCTGATTTTTACTTTAATACGTGCTCTCTGACATATTTATAGATTGTTTTCCGTTGTGATTTTTTTACATCTTTATACACAGATAAAAATCAGCAAATTCCTTACTGCGAATAAAGGATATGAAATCAACGCATACAACTTCCATAATGCAAATTAAGTTGTACAGAAAACATGATACCAAAGCTGCTCTTAAAATTATTCTTCTAAGCAAAAAGTAACAGAGATTCCTGACAGAGCAGAACCATGGACTGTAGAGTTAATGGTAATGCAAGAATTTGATGCAGAGGCTTTACCTCCAAGGATTTAAGAAGGGGCACAGACTCAATAAATAATTCATAGGTCTTCCTCTTCTTTGCATTGTTTTTCAATATAATTCTTCTGAACGTCACTCGATCCTGCAAGAAACAGAAGAAAAATACATTATTCCTCTTCACTGAAATGTTCCCTGTTTAAAGAACTGACAAATATAAACAAGGATTTGCAACAAACACTGGGGCTGAGAAGCCAGCTGTTAAAACACTACTACATCCATCATAGTGGTGATCGCAACAGCTCTTGTGAGAGCACTTGCTGCAGTAAACTTATAAAACCAGGGAACTGTAAGACCTGGTCCTTCTAACATAAGCATTTAAGAACTCTATTTTTAGTCTATTTTGTACTGTTTTTCAGAGCTGAGTTTTGGGGTTTTATTTGGCTGTTTTGTTAATACGTCCCATGCTTCTACATACAGTGAAAAAGTTGCTCTCTTCTTGCTGAAGCCATTGGAAATTGGCATTTCCAACACTTAAAGCAACTGCAGGACTAAGCCTGGATTGGTTTATTCTCTACTTGAGTCACAGATTTTAAAGGTAAGTTGGAGATTTATTCTGGTCTCAAATAGATCAGGAATAGAATATCAAACAGCAACAGGCTTGATTCATTCCTGCGCTTTCCTTCCCTTCTAGGATCCAAGAGACAGCTTTTTGCTTCCTAATTGCCAGCCTGTGTGCTGGGCTCATCCCCAGAGCATGAGCAGCAGGTCAAGGGAAGGGATTCTCCCCCTCTGCTGCGCTCTGGGGAGACCCCCCCCCCTCCGTGCCCCGCAGTTCTGATCCAACTCTGGGGCAACAGCACAGGAGGGACGTGGAGCTGTTGGAGCAAGTCCAGAGGAGGCCATGGAGATGCTGTGAGGGCTGGAGCAGCTCTGCTCTGGAGCCAGGCTGAGAGAGCTGGGCTGGGGCAGCCTGAAGAAGAGAAGGCTCCTGAAGGGCAGACCTTAGAGCAGCTCCAGTGCCTGAAGGGGCTGCAGGAAACCTGGAGAGGGGCTTGGGACAAGAACAGGTAGGGACAGGACAAGGGGAATGGCTTTAATCTGCCAGAGAGGAGACTGAGATGAGCTCTTAGGCAGAAGCTCTTCCCTGTGAGGGTGCTGAGGCGCTGGCACAGGGTGCCCAGAGAAGCTGTGGCTGCCCCATCCCTGGCAGTGTTCAAGGCCAGGTTTGACACAGGGGCTTGGAGCAAGCTGCTCCAGTGGAAGGGGTCCCTGCCCGTGGCAAGGAGTTGGAAGTGAAAGAACTTTAAGGTCCCTTCCAACACAACCCATTCTACGATGCGATCCTACTATCTCTTCCCCAGGCAGCAGCTAGTGCTGTGCAGGCTCCGTGGCCACTGGGCGGCACTGCGAGCCCGTAACCATCGCTCCTGCCTCTGCCGGCAGCGGCGGACATGTTCGAGCCGTTATTGTCAGAACTTAACAAAACGCTTTCCGTTTCCACACAGATATGGCAGCGCTCAGCTCCTGTCTAACACTGACAAGAAAAGCCACAATAGAGCTGAACTAAACAGCACGCCCAGGCTGCGGGGAAAGTACTGCTCACCAGATCCGCTTGTCAGTGTTTGCATTACAATAGTGCCCATGGTCCGTGACAGGATCAGCACTGGATTATGAACAGAGGAGAGTTCACCTTGCAGGGTGAGGGAAAAGTGTAAAAATTAAAAAGTCAAGGGAAAGGATGAGAGATTTGCTTAGGAAAATGGCACAAACCCCCCTAAATCTTTTAAGTTTCCATATACCACAATTAACAGAAACACCCGAGGTCCTAAGAGCCATTACAGCCATAGAACGGTGAAGGCTGGAAAGGACTTTCAGATCATGTAGTTCCAGTTTCCCTGGATCTCATTTTCTGCCAATCGATGCCTCAGCAGTGACACTTTGAAGCGAAGGGGTATTTTCAAGTAAAGGCACAGTTTTATGGGATGCAGGTTGCAAATACTCGTCACTGATACAGGTGACACTAGTGGAATATAAAAGTTGAAGGAGGGGAAAGATCAAGAGACAATAAAAAATGAGGGATTGCTTGATTTTACTATTTTAATAAGCTCTTCAGTGGTCGAAGTCTCTTCAAATGTACGTGTTTGGTGAAGCAAAAAGGTGCAGAAATGGTCAAGGACATTGCAAAAGCATAAAAATTACAGAATGCATTTGTTTGAGAGTATCAGTGAGGGAGAAGCAGCAGTATTTGAGTAAGAAGGGCAGAGCAGTGAAGGAAATGTGTGTGATGATGAAGTTCTCCCCAGACATGTTCAGCAGAAACAACTGAGGACAGTTCTCTGTCCCGAAGAGACACGCATTTGATAACTGCTTTGTGCCTGAGCTTTCCGCCAGGCTTTTGCTGGCCTAAGTCTGAAGTACAGCAGGAGTAATTCACATTTCCTCCATGGCAGATAACCCATGAGCTTTAGCAATGACTTCTTCAGACTAATAAAAATATGTTTAAATTACACCAGGCACAGAATGGCACAGTAAAACATGGCAATTGCAGAGTAACTGGAAGAAATAAATGATGATTTAGGGCAGGAAAATACAGCTTTAGTTAATAACATATCTACAGGACAGATGACCAGCAAGAGGTCCCTCTTCACTACACCTTGTAATTAAGTGAATAAAATCACAGAAAAAACAAACCCCAAATTAACTCAATTTGTGCAGTTCTTGTCAAAGGCAAAGGAACAAAGAATCATCATCTCATTTTCCTCCTTTTATGAATGAGCTCAGTTTTCAGGTAGCTGCTTTGTTCCATCTTATTCAAGAAATTAGATTCTGACATTACTCCCTTGTTGATTTACCAAAAATCTTTCTTTTTGGCTCAAAAAGAAAAGGGAAGGGAGGCAGATCTCTAAGCAAGCGCTGAGACTGCATAAGCACACCATGTGTAGCAGCTTATCAGTCCCATAATGAAGGTCACAACACATGGGCAACCCACAGCGATAGTTGCCAAGGAGCCCAGCACACACAGAGCATACAACACTTCTGGCTTCAAAGGCTTTGCTGATTGTACAATCCGCTTATTATATGAGCCCTCGAGGATGAGTAAGAGAGCACTGTGAAAATAACCCTACCAAACAGTACAGAGAAAAGGACTAAAAAAGGAAACTCATGTCTACAGCTTCACATTCAACACTGCGGGGCTAGAGACAAAGCAACACCATCAATTTAGCTTGGTATCTCACAGGTCATGCTGACCTGAGAAACTCTTCCAGTGAAACACAAAGGGAGCAGAAACATCATGACAGGTTATTCTGAAGGAAAACAAAGCTCTGGGCAGTTTTCCTAGCTCTTCAAATTACTGGTATCCTCAAGAAGATATTTAACACTTTCCAATTCCCCTTAAAATGGTAGGAAGGTGAGCTGAGAATAAAGAATGTCATTTAGATATTTTTCCCATAACATACGTGCATTAAAGTCTTCACTGCCCTCTGCAGGGTGAAAACAAAACCAGCTTTTTCCTGCCCCCTAAACAAAAGCCACAATTATAGCAAATACAAGTAATTAAAGGGACAGATAAAACTAGTGATAATAGTTTTTACAAACAAGTTGTTCTGTAAAGGTGGCCAAGAAGATTTGCACAATGGTTCTCTTATGTCAGAAGGTGAGATAACAGATCATGATAAAAGAGCTATTAGCACAACAAGCCATAACAAAAGAAGCACTGGACACAGTTAAGTGTTTAAAATACTATGCATATGAGAGCAACCTTCTTTCCTTACCAGTCCCCAAAGGGCTCCTTCTGTGGTGGCAATAATGGTGGCAGCTCTAGGAGTGTTGTACATCAAGGCCAGTTCCCCAAAACTGCCATGATTATCATAGCAGCCTACACAGCGCGACTGGTCATCTTTTGCTACAAAGATATCATACGACCCTCTAGAAAACAATGGCATAGATGTTCTTGATTAGACAACATTTCAATGAAAATGATAAAAAAAGCTTTTTGCTGCTATACAGATGGCCCTCATTGCTAAGTGAGATGGAACATGCTTTAGTGAGCTTTCCAATTGCCCTGATACCAAATTGCTTCTATGTACACTGTTTTCACAATAATTCTCTCTTTCAAAAGCATTTCACTCCTCACAGAGCTGGGCAGGATCCACTTGGTTTCTTCTGCATAGTATTTTGTCATTATTATTGTAATCGTTCTTACAACATGATAGGTAGTTCCATTGTTTTTAACAGCATTTGTCTTTTACAGCATGTGTGTTACCCAGTGAGGCCTCTCCGGAGTGACTCAGCTCCATTTATGCCCATTTTCTCAGTGACAGCACTGCTGTAGTACCACTGGGACACACTCAATCCAACTCCTCACCTGCTCCTATGCTTTGTCTCAACTCCATCTTAAGGGTACCTCTATATCACAACCCCAGGATGCAATTGTAGCTTGTATCTGCATATGCCCATGCTAGATTCAAATGATCTAGCTCTTGTATGCATAACAGTGATGCCATAAAAGCACAGAGATCAGAGGAAGGGGCTTTTTTTATTATTTCTCAGATACTGAGTTTTGCAGTGCAAACTGACCAGTCTTAAAATGAGCAGCACATACTGATCCTCAAGCTGAAGGATTTAAAGCTACTTGAGGAATTTTATCACCATTTTCATTGAGGTGTGACTGCTGAAGAAGGCGGGTTACAGCATGCAGTGCTCAAACTTGAAGAGTTGACAGCCCTAGGGTTGTTAGTTACCTCTGAGAACACTGCTGCAGCTAAAAAAAAAAAAAAAAGAAACAAAAAAACCCCACCAGACACCACAGGACAGCTTTATGCCAGCTTCATTTATAGGTGATTCCCTAAAGTTAACATCACACGAATCAAAGAGTTAAAACACATCAAAGTAAGGAAGCTCTGCACAATGACTTGAGGGTTTACTGCATTAAAGCCTCAGAGATCCAGAGGAAACTTGGGTTATTGGATCAACAGCAGATGGACCAGATTCAGACATGTCAGAAGATCCAAGAAATGTAGTCTCTCTCTGTCACCCAGAAAGCTAAAGGAGGAAGCTGGGCACAAGAAGACTAAATAACATCCTTACCAGACACTTTTTACACTCTACTGCTTACTCACACTTAGGAAGACAGAGAAAGAAACCAAACAGCATGCTAATAGTAAACTAAATAAGGGTTAGTGTTGACAGAAAAGTTTTGCTGATTCTTCTAATGCTCAATATCTACTTGAGGATTCTCTGATGGGCACCAGTGGCAACAATCTTCAGAGGGTTTTTTAATCTAGAAGAGCCATCTGTGGGCACTTCAAGCAAACCCAACAACCTCTTCCCATCCCTCAGCCTGAAAGTCACTTATCAGTGCCATTTATTTCCAAACAACTACAGCCACTTAAGCTTCAGCCAAGCATTGAGCTGTCTGTGCCCCAAGGACTAAATTGGTGAGGCACCACTGGGTGACCTTGGCTCAGCTTTATTGCAATGTTACTGAGCTCTGAGACAGTCTGTGAGCTAGAGCCTGGCAAGATAATAATAGACACAGCCCCAAGTGTAACTAGCGAGATGGCAATTGTTAGGAGTGCAAAGACTCAGAAGAAAAACACTGACATGAAAAAATATAAAACCTCAAGGAAAAAAAAACAGGGCAGAAAGGGCAACTCAGCAAAACTGTTGATCAGTCTGTTCCAAGAGGCACCAGAGACCAACGCTACCCCCCTCCTGACTGATGAATGCTCAATCAGCAGAGACTCATCAGGTGCCTCCTCAGCAGTGATGAGCATACTGATGTTAAGCCATGCAGCACATTTTTCCTAACTTTTCCTTCCATGTAGTAAACACTAAATAGCTGCTGCATCCTCAGGTTGCATCTGTCCTCCCTGCTGTCCCTTTGCACATAGTCAAAGATCCTCGGATAAAGTGGTCTGGTGAGGAAGTATTACAGCAGAAGACTTTGGAAAAAAGAGACTTGTGCCAGAAAGCCTGCTTGTCTATGTAGACAAGAAGCTAAAGAGTTACACACACAACACAAAGTCACTGTTCATTCAGACAGGAAGAAACTAATCCTCATGGATATTTAGGCATTCATGACTTATTTTAAGGTAACAAGACATGCTTCTGATGCCTTAAAAGAGCCAGTCTTACAAATTTGCACTTGCAAGCAACTAGAAGTACTTTAGCTTTCCATAAGCACCAGTATCCTGCTATTCTTTTGCATGAAAAAATGAGGGCGTGGGAGGTGGAGGAAGCACCAGAAGGGAAAATTCGTAACTGTAGAATTCTTTCTAATAACTGAATAGCTGACATAGAAGTTACAGCAGAGTCAGTGTTTACAGCAAAGGCTGCTCTACTGTTACTACTCAATAACCCCCAGCATAGACTTTCTGCCACATTCTTTTGGCAACATAGAGTGGAGGAACGGACCACTGGCTCAGGCTAATGGATGGTATGGTAGAGGGCAGGGGAATGGGCATAGAATCAGAATCTGTTTGAGATGGCAAGAAATGCAAGAAATTGCAAAATGGCACCTTAAACTCTGCAAGTATGTATCCCCTAACCAACAGAAGCAAACTAACCACAGGTCTCTCTGAAGTCACTAATTAACATGACAGCCTCTGCCATGGATTCTAATGTCCTGTATTCTCCTTCCCCAAAGATTTCTATTGCAGCTCTTCACCCTCCTTCCTTCAGTAAAAACACAGTGTCTACAGACGGCATGTAACATAGAACACAGAATAGCGTCATACAGAATCACAGAACAATTAGGGTTGGAAGGACCCTAAGATTATCAAGTTCCAGCCCCCTCCCCCGCCATGGGCAGGGACACCTAACACTAAACCATGTCTGTTCAAGCCTTGAACACCACCAGGGATGGAGCATTCACAGCTCCCCTGGGCAACCCATTCCAGTACCTCACCACCCTCCTCACAGTAAAGAACTTCCCCTGTTTAAGTTTCAACCCATCACCCCTTGTCCTATCACTACAGTCCCTAATGAAGAGTCCCTCCCCAGCATCCCTATAGGCCCCCTTCAGATACTGGAAGGCTGCTATGAGATCTCCATGCAGCCTTCTCTTCTCCAGGCTGAACAGCCCCAACTTTCTCAGCCTATCTTCATATGGGAGGTGCTCCAGTCCCCTGATCATCCTGACTGCCATGATTTTTCAAATATGATGGACAGTGGCTTAGCAACTTCATTCGCCTGCTCCTTCAGGTCCCATGGACTTGTGCACATTCAGGTTCCTAAGATGGTCTCGAACCTGATCCTCTCCTACAGTGAGCCTAAGGTCTTCATTCACACAGCCCCTGCATCTGCCATCCAAGACTTGGGTGGTGTGGTCAGAGCATTTGCCAGTGAAGACTGAGGCAAAGAAGTAATTCAGAATCTCAGCCTTCTCCAAATCCAGGGTAGCCAGTTCTCCCGGTAGCTTCTGGAGGGCCCACGTTGTCCCTAATCTGTCATTATTTGCTACATACCTATAGAAGGCCTTCCTGTTACCTTTCACATCCCTTGCCAGACTCAGTTCCTACTGGCCCTTAGCTTTCCTGACCTGACTTGGTCCCTAGCTTCTTGGACAACATCCCCGTATTCTTCCCAGACCACCCGGCCTTGCTTCCACCTTTTACAAGCCTCTTTTTCCCGCTATAAGTATCCTCAGCGAGCATATGTTTGGTTTTAAGCTATGCATATGCTGATGAGTACAAAAGCTAAACTGAAGAAATCATAGGCAAGCTCACGCTGCTGCCATTCCTCAGAGAAAGTGGTATTTGAGTTTTTATGCAACTACACAGAATATGTTAAAACCTAGCAGGTTTGAAATGTCCACCTCTGTCAAATTCGATTGTCCCTGGGAAAATGATCCAAAAGTCAGTGTGGGCCTAAACGGGAAAATGGAAAGATCAAAGTAAAAGGCAATGACTGCAAAAAGCCAGTTTCTTTCAGAAACTGTCCCTGCCATTTTTAAGAAACTGAAAAGAAACAACCTCCACATTTCAAAGGCATAGCTGCTTACCGCTCAATGACATAGAAGTTGTCTCCATCATCACCTTGGTCAATCACATGTTCCTGAGGTGTCACCTTCCTCTCAAACATGGCATCAAGGACCTGAGACAGCTGCTCCTATAACACAAAGAGCAGGGGAAGAGAAAAGAAAAAGTACATTTTGAAAACCTTCGGAAAATGCACCTTAGCATTATTGCTCGACAAGGGCGAGTTCATGTGACTTGATTTGGGTAGTGAAGTGCAACACACATTGCACTGTGTTTACGGTAGGGCAATACAAGTAATATTGATATCAATGTTGACTGCCACTAACACCTCATGTGTTTCCAGCTGATTAATGTAAGTTCAATAATGCAAACATTGATACTTGCATTACAGAAGAACCATTATCTCAAATTCAGGTCCAAATGGCTTAACCTATGCATACCATTTCAGTGCCAAAGCGCACATGTACAGAAAGGTCTTTTGGTTTAATCTGACACAGCTTCTCTGGAATGGAAACATGCTGATTTATGTCTATAGTACATATATTTCATTATATGTATGACTAGAAACTGCACCATAATCTATGAGTCACTTATATGTACTGTCATCACTGAAGAGCCTCCATCATGATCAGGACTGTAGTGAACAAGACTGTACAGAGTTATGTCCCTGGATAGTCTGCGTATTAGGGAGCCTGCGATCCCAGCACAAGACGAGATCAGACAGGTGCAGATGGGGAGCACATAGAGAAAATGGGATAGTGTTGGTCTACACCAGACTCAGGCTGGGTTTCTCTGATGAGCCATGACTAAACGTGTTTTGTAGGCAACACAGGCAGGGAAAGCCAAGAGAAACAATGCCATGTAAGTACCTTGCCTCAATGCTGACGGGCTTTACTATCTTCATTATTCCAAAGTCCATTAACAATAGACTTTCACTGCATTTCAAATTTGAAGATGAGTATCACAGCTGAGTTTCCAAAAACATACTGCATGAACGTTTAAACCAGTCTTTAAGCTGCTAGGTACACTTGAAGTATTTACTGCAGTCTAAACTCAGAATAATCATTTCAGCCTCAGCAGGCACCACTATATTGAAAATACTTTCACTAGAACCTTATTTTCTTGGCTTTAAAAACTCTCCTGATATTTAAACTAAACAATTATTGCATGAAAGCCATTTGTTTTAACCATCTATTTCACAGCATGCATTTAAAGTAACAGTTGTCAGGAAACGAGCAATGAAGATTCTAAAAAGCTTTTTAAAAACACTGTAACTCAATAATATTTTATTTGGAGGATAAACAGGAAAAGACTCATTTTAAGTAAATAAAACACTGAGCTCTTCTGTCATCAAAAGGACAAGCTTCATCAGGTTTCTGAACTGTAAAAAAACCCTTCTGGCTTAACTCTGGGGTAACAGTCACTGCTCTCACCCAGTAAAGCTGAGCAGCGCTTCTCAAGCCATAAGCTACCGCATTCGCCCTTTTGCATTACATGCAGGCAAAGTTCAATTAACTCAAACCCAGGAATCTGCAGGACTCAGCACTGCTCTTAGAGCTTTTATTTTCCCCAGCCTGCAGTAGTTTTCATGGAAACCTGACAGTTCTGTTTTCATGGAAACACCAGACCAGAGGTGAGATGCATTTATTCTACAGCCTCTCTGAGGCTGGATTAGAGGATCTCCAAAGGTCTGTTCCTCAACTACAGTCCTCATTAAAAGATTCTTACCAATGCAAATTCCAAAGTGCAAGCAACAATCATCATTAAAACTCAATGCTGAGGCAATGAGTAATTAATAACCAACTTCAGCAAGAAAAATCAGTAAGGATAGGAACAACCTAAAAACATGAATTTACATTCATTTACAGAAGTTTTTGGACATATTGGCATTTCAGGAAATGGTGCAACAATCTGAAATCATGTAAATATGTAACAGTCAATATCACAACTGTGTAAGTAATTTCCTTTTTAAATCACCCATAAAATTATGAGCTATTTCCTAGGAAAAATGAAATCAGGTGCAATGGTACCCAAGAAAAGATCTCATTGAAAGATAAGCAAAATAATCAAAACCAGAACAAAACCAAAGCCCTTTTCCCTAACAGGAAGAAAAACAAAATGGAATTTGCAAGAGGAATCTGACAATGATGGTAACCGACAACTTGACGTAGAATCATAGAATAGTTGGGGTTGGAAATGACCTTACGATCATCTAGTTCCAACCCCCCTGCCATGGGCAGGGACACCTCGCACTAAACCATGTCACCCAAGGCTCTGTCCAACCTGGCCTTGAACACTGCCAGGGATGGAGCATTCACAACCTCCCTGGGCAATCCAGTCCAGTGCCTCACCACCCTCACAGTAAAGAATTTCCTCCTTATTCCCAATCTAAACTTCCCCTGTTTAAGTTTTAACCCATTACCCCTTGTCCTGTCACTACAGTCCCTAATGAAGAGTCCCTCCCCAGCATCCTTGTAGGCCCCCTTCAGATATTGGAAGGCTGCTATGAGGTCTCCACGCAGCCTTCTCTTCTCCAGGCTGCACAACCCCAACTTCCTCAGCCTATCATACAGGAGGTGTTCCAGTCCCCTGATCATGTTTAGATTGTTCATTGGTTGCTCATCTCCAAACATAAGCCCCAGCCCAGCCTGCCTATAGTTAATAATTCATAAACTATCACAGTGCAAACAAGTGTCTGGACTGTTAGGTCATGCTATTACCTGTATCTACAAACCATCGACTTCAGTTTAGAATGGAATTACCTGATCGAGGTTTTTGAAGAGCAGGATATCTTTACACGCTTCCTGCAGTCGGCATCGCTGTTCATCAGTTTTTGGATGAACTATCTTTAAAACAAAGTAAAACAAATGTCATGACAATCAAGAAGTATGATTACTGACTGAACCTGCGTTTCAGAGGGAAATGCAGAACACAATTTAACAGTATAAAAGTACACAGCTCCTGTGTTGTTTGCATAAACAGCATTTATGCATTTTATATATGTAAATATGTATGTATGTATTATGCTGACAACTAACACATGGAAGATAACAATCAAGATAGACAAGAAGGATGCCTTTTCCTTCCCCTTCCCTTCTAACCCACCCATAGATACAGTCAAGGTGTGAGCATTTGAAACAGAGGAAAAAGAAACAACTCTGGGTGTATTAATCCTAATATATTTATTGTTACCATGTAGATAGTTTGCATGATTTATGATATGTATCTATCTCAGCCCATATAATAATAGAAGTTACTTAAGAAGCACCTGGTGTTGTTTCCCCAACAAAATGACTTTAATAAAAACTTTGCTATTTGAGAGATTTCTTTTTCCTACTTTTTTCCAATTATAAACATCTCATCAGATTAAAGGAACAAACACTCATTCTGCTCTAAGAATGTTTAGATGTGTTTTATTGGTGGCTAATTATGAAATCATATATATATATATATATTTAATTACCTCACATTCATTGCATCAACTATATTTCTGGAATAACAAGGATTCCAGAACGAGTTACATCAGTAGGATTATCTAAAAATTAATTGAAAGTTAAGTAGAGCTCAGATCCTTGTTTTAAAAGAACATCAGCAGTCAGGAAAATGAAGACTTTTGATGGAATAAATGCACCCAAGTTTAAAAACATCTGGATGATCAGACACACTCATAATCTTCTCTTTTTTCTTTTTATAGCATCTTATGTATTAAGTACCTTCTTTTTTAAGAGACATTCAATTAAGACTTAGATTTTCATTGCAGAAGTGTAAGCATCCTTGAAATGGAATCTAGAAAAGGAACACCGGAAGTCCAGAGAGGAAAACGCTGGCTCTCACCAGCAAGGCTACAGGATTTACTCACATAAAGAAATACAATTCCAGTATCTGGACTTGCAATTCCTAGGAATTCCCAGCTTTTAAAACCAACAAAAGAACAGCTGGACACAACCTCAAAATATTTCAATGAAGTATTTCTCCTCCCCAGGCAGAACTGCTCTGATAGGGCAGTAATAAGCATATGAGGAATGTTAAGCACCCATGAAGAAACAGCTGTGCTTAACTGATTCTTTACAACAGCATCGATGCTCTAGGAATTGCCTCAATGAGCCTTTAAGATAATTAAGAAAGGAAAATATCCAACATTTTAAAGGTAGGCTTAAGAACAGCTCTTGAGTCCTCTGAAGTGAAACTATATTAAAGCTACAGTGAGTAAATAAGTGCATGAGCCAAAGTGGCCCTAAATTTCAGAGCAATGTCACATTGTCAGTGTCAGTATGCCACGCAGAAGTGGTAGGGAAAGGGTGATGCACAGACATCTGCTGTCGAACTGCAGAGAGAAGCATGCATGATGCAATTCATTCTTACCTTTTGTTCTGTGTCTTCTTCCTCTTCATCTGGATTGAAAGCTTCAGCACAAACTTGGAAGAAAAAGAGAAAGTGAGTTAGTAAACAGAAGCCATTACATGAGAACAAATAAATCAATTTCAATTCCTTTCTTCTACAGTTTATTTTGCTACAGGAAGAACAAACTCACTTCTGATGATCTTCAATTTTTATTAAAGCACAACATTCTCCATTCAAAGTTATTTACAAACATCTGTAAAACCCAGGAGAAGAACACTGCAGCTTCACTGGTCTGCTCTTGCAGTGCGATGCATATAGCAAAACACACAAAGGAAATAGTACAAGAAGGCATGTGGCATTCCTCCACCTCAAGTCAGATGACTTGCAAATGACTGTCCATATTTTGGGGTATTTTTCAATACAGTGAAATCACATTTGCACACAATTTAACCTGGGAAACAGACAATCAGTTTGCCCATAGAATATTCTATGTCAAAACATAACGTTCAGTTCCCTTCCATCTCCTGTGTCTTACCACATTTGCATCAAATGAATGTCAAGTTACAGTAGAAAAACTTCTAAAAACACACAGAATTATTATTGTTCTTTTTTAAAAGGACAGGAACATTTGTGGAAACCATATTCTGGAGTGCACAGGAAGAAGGCTCTGCCAAACATGTCAATATAACTACAGGATCAGTCACAAGAGAGGCAATGATAATGGTGAGCTGCTGAAATTTCAGACCATTTTTGTTCAATTTTGTGCTTCAGAAAAGGCTGATCTTCACTTATCTTAACAGTTACACTGTTCTACAATGCTAAACAGACACCTCTGCTGCCAAAGCCTAGCAAAAACTCTAGCTCAGACTTTATTTTGCAGATCTTCCATGTCAAAGTAAACTCTACATTCTAACTACCTGCATGAAGTGAGGGTCAGCCCTGTTTTTATCTTTAGCAAGTGGCATCTTACTTCTAAGGCTAAATGGTACTTGTAAGGTTTTACAAGCAAACAAACAAGCATTTTTCTTTGTACTTTATCCACCATCCTGACAATACTCAACGCTTGGCAGAAGGCCCAGGAATTCACTGCAATGACATCTAACTGCTGCATGGACTTTGAAAGTATATACACATATATATAGAAAAAGAAGCAGATTAAAGAAAAAGAACTAAATCTCAAGGGTCAAGCATTCAGCAATTTGCAAATGATTTCAAAAGGCACACAGAACTATTGACCTTGTCACCATACTTTCAAAAGCACTACGGAAATGCACAAGTCCAGCATAATCTGCTAGGAAAGACTTGCCTCCCTCCTCAAAAGGTACATGTCCTTCCTAGTAACCTTGATTTTCATAGAATCACAGAATGGTTTGAGTTGGAAGGAACCTTAAAGCTCATCCTGTTCCAACCCCCTGCCAAAGGCAGGGACACCTTCCACTGGTGCAGCTTGCTCCAAGCCCTGTCCAACTCGGCCTTGCAGGGATGGGGCAGCCACAGCTTCTCTGGGCAGCCTGTGCCAGCGCCTCAGCACCTTTCACAGGGAACAGCTTCTGCCTAAAATCTAATCTAAAGTCTCACCTTCAAAGCGTTTCACGTTATCTGTGTTCAAGCTGTGCTGCTTCTCTATTCTGACTGAAAAGAACCTCCATAACTACCCTGCACTCTGCCAAGCCCTGTCAGAAATCCATGGAAGTTAATCTCAGGACTCCTGAAGTTTAGTCATTTGTGGGTTATAGTACAGCCAGTCCCAAGGGAAAACCATCTGCTCTTTGACCTTGACACAGTGAAAACATACTTGCCCCACTATTTTATACATGACTGAATTCACATTTATTAACTATTTCAGTGTCCCAGTAGAACAGGAACTCCAAGGTAAGCTTATTCTCACAATATTATCCTGCAGAAGTGTGTTGGGCAGCATCTTTTTAGGCTCATTGAAGCAGAAGGGATCTCTCTCTGAAGGTCATACAGTCCAACCTACCCTTTCAAGGAGAGCTATTTGCAAGGCTAGATGGATGCTGACCTGGAAACCTCCCTGGGAGAAGACTGCATATCTCTGACTAATCTGCTCCACTGCTGCACCATCCTCCTGTGGAAGAAGTTTTTCTTAATGTGCAGCCTAAAGCTCACAAATATCTTGGTATCATTTGAAGTGACTTCTGAAATCACACCTTTATTATGTGAGATTTTCAGCACATCTCTGTCCTTGAGCAAACGCCAAGCATGAACGCATCAGTGAAAGTTATGTACAAGCGTGACACACACCCCGACTACATACTCTCATTAACTACAGCTGTATCAGCATATATCATGCAGACCAAGCTTCCTGCCAAGTCAACCCACATAGTTCAAGTAGCTTTGGAACACAAAGACCAGTTTTCAGTTTTAAGAAACTTTAAGATAAAAAGAAATTCCTGCTTTTATCCTACCATCTACATTTAGTCTTTCTTAGCTTCTGCAGCTAGTTTAGTTTTCGCTTCATACAGCATCTTCTTTGGCTTTCAAGAACAGGCACATCTGTTAACATTTCTGAAGGCTCAGAAATGATACAACTCAATCGCTGCTTTGTTATGCAGGTGACAGAATCTGAAAGCAACAAAGATCTGTCTAGCTGCAGCAATAACTTAAGCAGTGAATGGGGTGAGGGGGAAAAAAAGGGTGGGGAGAGAGGAGAAGTAGCAAGAAAACTCTGCCAGTACAAAGACTACCTTTGTTTAAGCAAGTTTTAATTGCTCCCAAAATAATACTGTTCTGCAAAATACAGGTTTTATCAAGATCAAAGTCCTTGCACTCTGTGTAAATCAGCATTTAGCTCCCATAAGCAAATACAGCCTCTGAGAGAAACAGTCTGAACACCACTGCTACTCTTCAAAATAGCAGCCAAAAGGCTGTGGCCTGAAAAACCATCAGACACAAACAAGAGGAGGAAATGAAAAATTTATGTTTTAGGTAAGGTGAATGCATTGTTAATATTTCTGTTGTTAATGGAAGAAGTAACAATGACATGCTCTGTCATTACCTCTTTGCAATTTTGGATAGCACTTTTTGTGCTCCTGAGTGAAAACCTGTTCATTTGTCCTTACTTATGAGGATGCTTCACTTCCAACTCCCCACCTGATTTCATGAGACCCATTAATGAAAATCCACCCAGAGCACCACAGAATCCCAGACTGGTTTGTCAGAAGGGCCCTAAAATCTCATCCAGTTCCAACGCCTGCCACAGGCAGGGAAACCTTCCACTAGAGCAGGCTGCTCCAAGCCCCTGTGTCCAACCTGGCCTTGAGCACTGCCAGGGATGGGGCAGCCACAGCTTCTCTGGGCACCCTGTGCCAGCACCTCAACACCCTCACAGGGAAGAACTTCTGCCTAAGAGCTCATCTCAATCGCCCCTCTGGCAGGTTAAAGCTGTTCCCCCTTGTCCTGATGTCCTTATACATGCAGAGCAACTTTTCCAGTTGTTGACCTGGATCAGTAATCTCGCACTATGCTTAAGCTGATGCTCTTCACATTAGAGCTTGACAAAGCTTCAATCGTTTTTAAGTCTGCCTCCCAAAGGACAGACGCAAAGCCTCTTCTGGAAGCACTATGCCAGCTGGAAAGGTGACCACTTCCAGTGGTTTGTCATTCCCTCTTTGACAGCTGAGTTGCTAAAGCAGACCCTTCCAAAATGATGCAGTCAAGAGGAACTTTAGAAGCTTAAACAGCATTTACACATAGGTTTTTGCTGGCACAGCTCAACATGATTTTCTGCACTTGGGAAACAACTTCAAGTTGTCTCATTTCTGTTGCTGGATAGCTCAGAACTTTTTCGTTTAGAAATTTCACTTTGTTTCCTGAGTTAAAGATCTCACCAAGTCAGAGCAGTTGACAGATTCGTACCTTGATCCAGCAAGTGGGAAACATAACCTGCAACCATTTGCACTACCTGAACAATTTTCACACAGATGACAGAATGAAAAGCGACACTGAAACCTGAAAGCCAGCTAAGCCATCTGCAATAAAATCAGGGTGTTTCATCCTTCAATTCCCTAAGGGGAACTGACTGAAATCAAGTGTAAATATTCAGTTTAAAATGTCGTTGCACCAGCCCAAAACTTGGATCTCAGGTCTTAAAAGACTGGTCTTCCTCTTTTGAGATGCCACATGAAAATCCCCTGATGCAGGAATGCAGGAGTACCCCCAGCAGTGCCACCTCCCAACTTCATTCTTAGTTCTCTAACAGGCATAACTGAAACATGACGTACAATGACCGTGACTTGAGCAAACAACACCCCCTCAAGTCTTTGTCAAATACCAATGCACAACATTCAAACACACAACCATTTGCATGGCCATGTACATCAAATCAAGTGTACAATATTGCAGTTGAGAAATATTTAGAAGTAATTATTTTAGGTGGCAAAGGAAAAGAATGGATGTTCAGTTCTGCAAACAGCTACAAATTTCATCAGTTCAATGGAAATTGAAATAAAATCAACTTGGTTTTATTCACAGCCAGAGCTATTCTGCGTTACAGATTAACTCCAAAGATAAAGTCACTCAGCAAGGCTGTGCCAAACCAGCTCAGTCCAGCCAGGATTACAGGTTCAGGCTCAGCTCCATGCGTGGTCCCAAATCCTGCTCAGGTTGGAAAGCTGCACAGATTGTTTTGTCAGGCAGAGAAGCCTATGAGACACTGATAAGCCGTAAGGCCCTTAAATCCTGCATTGTCTCACCCAGCTCTGTGAAAAGCAAGCACTGCCTCTCTGTACTACTGAATAGACACAGCAAAAGGATCACCCAAAGCTTTGCTTATACCCCTAATTTGACTTGAAAATGGCCATCTCTGATAGGGATGCTACTGGTATTTTTCAAGGCCCACTACTTGAGCAATAAAACTGGGGCCACAGGCAGAGCTGGAAAGGACCCACTCCAGTTCACAGCTACCCCAAGGCATAATTCTGGAGGGACATTAAGAGAACTGGAGATTGTATTAAAGCACTTGCTTGTCCTTACCTTTAGAAACCTCCGATAACCGCTCCCTCAGTGTGACTATGTACTTCCCAGTAGTATTATTTAAATCAGACCTCTCTGT